CCTCCTCTCCGACCGCTACATGCGTACGCCTCACAGTTTCACAATGGAGTGTTTCACTTGGCCTAGTACCGACGCATCTTCGTCGTCTCGGGCATAATTCATGGCACAAGTGAATTGTGCATAACATGGCTGCATTCGCACAGCTTCGACGCATTCCGACGTTGTCGTTTTACAAGTCGTTCCTGTTGTGTCCCCAGGCGTTCGACTTCTTAGATTGCGCCCCACGAGTCAAAAAGACAACGCACCGGACAGGAGGTATATTTGCGGAACACTACACGGGCCGGCGTGTGTATGAAAACACTCTAATTCCAGTTCCAATCACGGCTGAGGGCTAATTTGAATTTATCGATCTCAAAGAACCACGGGACGTGTGAGGGGTATGTAACAAGCGGTAGTAACAAATGTTCTGCAATACAGAAAAAAACGCTAGTCTACAGTTATGAAAGGTTACACAAGTATACCTGTGTTTTTCTTCCACCTCCAACACCTCCCTCTCTTAAAAATGCGGGTTACCTGGGGTTCACGTAACTCTTTCGACGCGGATCCACTTGGAGAGGCTGCAGGAATCTTCTTGTTCCTTTGGCCTGTGACGAGCTCCATTTTCCATGCATTCCACTGGAGTAACTCCACCGCTTGCAGGAGTACTAGGCTTGCAGGTGTCCAGCAATTCATTGACGTCAAGTCCGTTGACTTTCGGAACGGTGGCACTATGTGTATAACGTGACCTCAACTGATTTACGTGGCATCTCCACACCTGTGTATCCACTTGAACATCATACAGCACGTTGCCTCGGCACCGCAGGACTCGTCCTGGTATCCATGCGATCCGCCGTCCTTGATTCGCAGCTGCAAACACAAGATCGCCCACTTTGAAAATCCTTTTTCTTGCACCATACCGCCTGTTGTACTGACGCTCCATCACTGAATTCCGTAGTTGTAGAGACGGGCGCTTGGGGGTCAGCAAATCTAGTGTGGTTCTCAACCTTCGACCCATAAGTGCTTCAGCTGCTGATTTCCAATGTGGTGCATCAGGATTCGGGCTGACTCTATAGTTCAACAGGAAACGTTCCAATCTTTCGTTCAGCGATCCCTTCTCTTTTGACTTCCACAATGCTCGTTTCAGGGTATCCACAAATCTTTCCGCTTGGCCATTAGACTGCGGATGATACGGGGCCGTCCTCACATGCTCGATCCCACTCTGTGCACAAAATGCAGGAACCCGTCGTCGCTTCGGTAGTGGTCCCGAGTGGCCTCGCTCATGGCTCACTAGGCCTGCCTGACTCAGGCACTCGCGACCGCATGTTCTACAGCACCATGCGCTCGATGTCGATGGAGTACAATCCATCGGTGCTTGCCGCTTCCGCACTTGCCGCTTCTTCTCTGCATGCATGAGGGCTTTCTCCCGCACTTCAGCAACTGCCTTCGTGATTAGATCGCGCCATGCACCACGATCAACCGCCTTCGATTCCCATGATCTGCAATCAAGATTAGAACGTGTGAGGCTCACTTTAATCATGTCCTGGTAACGTAACTTTGGTTTCCCAGCGTGCCGCTTCCCTATACTCAGCTGACCGTATAAAAGTTGTTTCGGTATCCGCGTCGAATCCATACGGCTCACATGACCGAGCCATCTCAGGTGTCTCAGTAAAAGTATGCCGTCCACTGCATACATCCCACTTCGGCGCAACACTTCCGTGTCTGCAACTCTGGCGCCCCAACCGATCCGCAAAATTCGTCGCAGACACTGCTGATGGAACCGCTCGAGATATCGCACATCCCGACGGTACATCGTCCACGTTTCACTGCCGTATAGAAGAACGGACAGTACCATGGATTTGTACACCATCAGCTTCGTGCCAATGCTAAGCTGATGGTTGTTCCACACTCGGTACTCAAGCTTCCCGAATGCCGCTGCTGCCTTCGACACGCGATTACGCAACTCAACGTGTAGCTGCTGATCAGTCGACATCACACTCCCAAGGTAGCAGAAGCGGGAGGTGGTTTCCAATACTTCAGCACCAATGCTGATTCGCGGCAATATTGAAGATTGCACCTCCGGTGAAGGCTGAAAGAGACAGACAGTTTTGCTTGTGTTGATGGTGAGCCCGAATTTGGCCGCTGTCGAAGCCAGAGCACTAGTCATGTGCTGCAACTCATCCGCGCTGTGTGAAAACAACGCACAGTCGTCAGCAAACAGCAACATACGGATAGTTGTCTCACAGACTAGAGTTCTCGCACCGAAACGACGGATGTTCAGCAACCCACCATCAATACGGTGCTCCACACGAACACCGTAAGCACAAGCCGCATCAAAAGCACAAGACAACATTGCATGAAGATATATATTAAACAGGGCAGGAGCTAAGACACAGCCTTGCTTCACACCAGAGACAACTGCAAAGTCATCCGAGGTCTCTCCACTCAGCTGCACCCTCGCTCGCATACCACTGTGCAGACATTCAATTAAACTTACAAACTTACGCGGGCAACCAAACTTACCCAACACCAGCCACAATGCCTCGCGGTTCACCGTATCAAATGCCTTGGTGAAATCAACAAAAAGCGAGTACAATGGCTGGTGTCGTTCTCTGCACTTCTCTTGCAACTGACGAGCCGCAAACACCATATCTATAGTGCTGCGACCCGAACGGAATCCACATTGCTCTTCCGCCACGTTAGGTTCCACAACCTGACTGACGAGGCGGTTGAGCAGGATTCGGGCAATCACCTTGCCCACACAACTCAGCAAGTTGATGCCATTAACATTTATTTTTGACATTTGCATGCATGGCTCGAGGGATGAGCTGTACAGCAATATGCCAAGAGAGGACGAATGTCCCGGCAGAATAGGAAACACTGATTGAAATAAAACTTCAAACAGTGGTCGGAACCGCGTCAATTGTCACCGTGTGGGATTGGGTGCATGTTATGTAAGGCGTGATGATGCACCACGCATGTAGGTGTCGTAGACCTTCAGAGTCAGACGAAGAGTAGAAACACAGAGGTCAGAAATATCAAGTGATGTCATCCCGAGTGCGGTAAGATGTTTGGCTGAGGTGGAATATATCATCCCTCGATTATTGATAACGACGGGGTGGTGAACAATATTTGTCGTCTCAGGAAACTGTTCACGTATGTATCGCGATATGGCTGCGGCATTCTCCCCTGATCCGTATTTATCCACTTTCAGTTTATAAGTACAATCCATTCGGTACGCGTCACAGATGGCCACGTCCACAATGTGAACCGTAGAATTTCTAACCGCAAGCAGGTCTGGCTTGATGAAGGAGGTGGCTGTCGGAATCCTCGGCTCCATAACAATGTTAATGCTTCGGCGCCGCAATTGCCTGGCAATCTGTTGGGCAATTTCATTATGACGTTTACAGCGGACATCATGCGTGATGCAGCACGCCTGAAGAACATGTGACAGAGTCTCTTTTTGTCCGCAGCTCCCGCGGCAGTTGAGAGAAGCCGGGTCATTTGTAGATCTGCCTCTGCTCCGTCGCGTTTTGGTAGAAAGAACACCCCCCCGTAGTTGGACACCCCGTATGAAAAGACGTGGAAAAATCCTGGTGGGGTCCCTCAGCCAGTGGTGAGCGGAAGGTGACGTGACCACGTTTCGCAAGGGAGAGCCATCCACTGAAGCAAAAAAAGCATCTCTCCAGGCATCCGCAGCTGAGCTTTTATCCATGACGACGCGATTACCGATGGTAACAGTGGAGCGCGCTAGACGATGGATGGCAGCGGCTGCAGGGTCCCGGATCGCCCAACTGGTCACTGGATGGCAGTTGGCTAGGTGTCGTTCCAGCCTCTCCTTCCGTAGCAGGGGAATACTCGTTGACAGACACGGAATACCCAAACCAAAGCTCGCAATGGGAGCGTGAAGATATGCAATGGAGGTGTCTGACGGCAAGCGCAGCCATTTTCTGACGTGTGATCTGACAATGCGATCCAACCGCTTCAATGTATTCCGGTGAACCACTGCCAGAGCTAACTGATGAACATGCTTGGGGAGCAGATAGGTCCTCAGAATCTCAAGTCGTTGTTGTGGTTTAAGCGGTGCCTTGGTAACTTCGTTAAGTTGCACAGTAATATCGTCGATTACTGTTAGAGGGAGCTTACCCTTCCAGTTAAAAGGCAGGCCCAACATCTTGAACTTTTCATCGGGCTGAATGGAGGGAATAAAAATAGGACCACAGTCCAAAGCATTCGTATCCAGTATGGTTCGTTTGCGAGCGCCATCAACAATTATATTTACCGAGAAAGATTTTAGATGGTTGATGTTGAGGCCGACGCACTGCAGTCGTTGATGGAATCGCTGAAGGTGATCTCCCAGAGAAATGCGGTCTTGAGCAAAGATGATCACGTCGTCCGCGTAAGCGAGGTACTCAATCGGGCCAGCCGGTGATATCCAAGGCGAAGTGGCGACTCCGTGTAAAACTTCATCTAGGGACATTATGAAGAGCAAAGGCGAAAGCGGATCTCCTTGCCGGACCCCTCTATCAGGATGAAGCTTGACATCATTAAAGATTGAGGACGCGGAGCTGTAATACGATGCCAAGTAATCTAATAATAGCGGGGGGGCTCCGAAAGCAGCTGCTGCTCGAAGTAAGGAGTGATGAGAAATGGAATCGAACGCCTTCGAGATATCCACTGCCGCAAATGAAAGGGGGGTACGAGAAGAATGAGAATGGCGAAGAGCAGCATGGAGTATGGACGGGGCTTCGAAAGCGCCATCTTTACGAAGAAAACCAAATTGAAGGCGGTCGGTAGGGAAAGTCGGAACCCAACGATCAAAGAGGATACGATGAAGAAGGCGTGTGAAGACAGATGAAACTGCGATTGGACGGAATTGGTCAGGGGAGATGGGCTGGGAAACTTTTGGTACGAAGGTGATCCGAGCAGTGTTCATGTGGATGGGAAATGGGTAGGAAGCAAGAAGACAGTTGAGAAAAGAAGTTACAAAGTAGGGATCCATCCTTGAAATATCGGCTGGCTTGATGCGGTCTACACCGGGAGCCGAACCCCGCATCTGTTTGAGAACACTTTGCATCTCCTCCAGGACAATTGGCTTCACCAAGTCATCATTAGCTGGAAGGAATCGACGCGGTGCGCGCTCATCATTAGCAGAAGGTCTGGAGAGGACATTCTTCCAATATTCCGTGAAACCTGGAATGTTCTCGTCCTCATTAAGAAAGGCAGTGCGCCATCTTCCGTCAATCACCGTACTTGCAGCGTCTTTCCGGCGGGTATGATAAAGACGTTGAATATGGCCATATTGTAGGCGTCGCCGGTGCTGATTGTTTCGAATCTTAACGGTATGTACACGTTTTTTCGAAGGCCTCCATCTGTGTGGAAAGAGAGTAGCACACACATCGTTTAGGGCCTCACTAAATGCTATCCTCGATCCATCAGTAGCGAATGAATTCACCAGATTCCGAAGTATGCGGTGTTCCTCCTTGGCAGGAGAGGCGCAGTTGCAAAGAAGCTGTTGGGCAGCTAGCAGCAGAGTGCGGAATACTGGTGTTGGCGCGGACGCAATGGAAGCTTCGTAATTAGCATTGGAAGCTTCTGGTTGATCCTGTACCACAATGGCCGTGGGGCACGTAGTGGACGGAGGGGCCATAATACCAGCTGAAGTTTCGCTAGAGAAACTTATGGTAGACGACTGCTCCTGAGGGCATACTGTTGCCTCTGGAACTAACGCTGCAGATGAGTGAGGCGAGGTTGAATAATCTATCGAGGCAGTAGGGGATGGTACATTGAAACGCAAATCAGCGTCGGAGGAGGCGGTGGTCACCGCAGGATTGCCTTCGTACGATTCTCGAGGGGTTTGTGTAGACACACCCAAGTTAGTAGTTAATGTAGGCTGAGGTTGATGGAATTCATCGGACGTTATGGTTGAGAAGGGTGACGCTCGTACGGTTCCATCTGGAGGCGTGATTGGATGTTTGGTTTCAGTCGATGGTTGCGGAAAAGCACTGGAAGTGGACGTTGTGTGGTGTTGATGAAAGAACCATCTAAGTCGTTGCAAGCGTTTTCTGATACCGTCCCTGGTGCGAAAGGGGAAGACGCGCCTCAGTCGTTCTAAAAGGATATTTAAGGAAGGAGACGTAACCGCAAAACGTGAGGCTGCTAAAAGTAGGGATTTGTCATCCCTGGCTGACCAGTTGTAAGATTGCCTCGGTAGTCGGGCTAGACAGTCTGCATTGTAACTGACAGGATGCTGATGTCTCCAATGCTGAGACAGGCCATTTTTAGTCGAAAACGTACGGTGACATGTTGGGCATTCGAAACTGGAAGTATTCCTGGCAGCGGCTGTGGTAAGTAAACTCGTAGGATTCCTGAGATGGGCCGCCAAATGGCGCCGCAGGCCGCTCCTAGATTTAAACGTCCTCGAGCACAGTGAACAAGAGGGAGGCTGGAGTACGTCAGAGATCGTCGCCGGACCGGAGGCGGGAGATTTGGATGTTGATAAAGTAGCTTCAGCAGGAGAAACTCTTCGTCGTGGTGATGGCAGCAACTGAGGGAGGCGATCAAGTAGTATACATGGTTGTCGTGATCCCGATGGTAGGGCTATGGGTGATAAGGGTGAGTGTGTGGGTGACGGGTGGACGCGGTTCCGAGAGCTGGCTATGGAGTCGGCAGAGGCCGGTCCGTTTGATTCGTTGAAAGAGCAACCAGCAAATCCACTGCTCTGACTCTGCAGGGCAGGGGATGAAGGGAAACAGGTGGGAGCCTGCGCCGCGGGCCGTTCATAGGCCCCTATCCGCGGCTGGGGTGAGGGGGGTGCATCGAGTTGGGCGTGTATAAAATGGCATTCGGGTCATTGGAGGGGTTAAAATCTGGGGCGTTGATGATAAAAGGGTTGTTGGGCGATCCGGGACGACAGCGGAGGTGCGAAATAGCCGGCTGGCGACGAGTAAAATATTTCCAAGTATAAAGTACTTCCAATTCTTTGTTGCTGTCAGAGGCAGATGATAAGCTGGATGATGTACGAGAGGATGCTGAGCCGGTGGAAGGCGCAACAGGAGCAGAGGGGCGATGTGATCGATTCTCTGGAGTGGGTGACGCGGTCTCTTTGGATGCTAGGGATATCACAGGAAAGCTCGGTGTGTTTTGCTCCGGACTGTGGTTACTGATTGTGTCCTCAGTAATATTATCGGTTGCACCCGTCGTGGGTGTTAACGACTGTTGAGGTTGGTGGCGATGAAGGCGGCGGCCTGGAGGGCGTTTCCATTTTAGAAATTGGAGCCGTTTCCTTATTGCTGTCATCGTTCGGAAGGGGAGTTTAGTTTGTAAAAGTGGCAGAAGCTGCGCTAGTGAAGATACAGATTCGCCTAAATGAGCTGCGTGCAGTAATAACTGAGCATCTTCCTCCGCAGACCAGTGTACTGAGGATATGGCCGTTCGGGATGACAGCATGTCTTGGTAAATAGTGGGGTGTGCCTGGCGGCAGTGAGTGGTAAGCGCTCTTGCTGAGGCGAATTGACGATTGCATTGTTGGCATGACGTCACCGGAGCACCGCGCATACGTAGATCGTTGGGATGTCGTTTGTGGTATCCGGTATGCCGAGTAAGACCAGCAGCCGTCGAGAAAAGAGCGTGACAGATATTACAGGTGTAATTTTGCAACACAGTGTGAGAAGTCGAAAGTATGGCGGAGGTTGTCATTGTTGGTTGTGGAATGTTGTTTGTTACTCTGTCGATGTGCAGTGATGGGGAATTCATATTTGAGATGTGTGAGTGAATATGTGCACGGTGCATGAATCCGCGGTCGACTAAAAGAGACTATCCATAGGGCTCAGGCCACAATAAGTGAAAAATAGGAATAAGAGCTAAAGCAGAATAGGGGAAGGGAAATGGTGTAGGCGAGAAGGATAATGGAAGAATTTATAGAATGCACGAATTACCTCAAGTAAAATATGATTGAGATCTAAACACGAGCATAAAAATTCTCTAGCTAGTCGGTCATGTCAAATATTGTTCGCAACATGCGTAAAACGACAAAAACTGACAAATAAAAAATAGCGATTGCCAGAATACTCCCGAAAAATACCAAGGTAGGTGGACAACACTTGAAAGCCCAGAAAAATACCCCTACTTCAATCACAATTTAAAATAAAAGCCCCTCTAACAACGTGAGACCCATGACGATCATAAAGCGTTGGCGAAACCAGGCATGCGGGGTCAATGTGGCATCAATCAATAACACTAGATAGGCCGGCAAAATCTTTGTAGAGTGTTGATCAAAACTTAGCCTAAACTGACGAGAAGCTATTGGGGGCGATCAATATCAAACGTCGGTTCATCAAAAGGAGGCTCATCAGGAGGAAGCTAAAAGTTTGGAGTTTTCTAGGAATACAAACCAACCTACATAAAAAAGACTTTGTAAAAAGCACAAGTAATGTATATAGTATATAATAATAGCAAAATAATTGTATGTACGCATGTTGAAGGTATAAAATTCCCTTAGAGAAAATCCTTATAAAGAGACATTGAAGTAAGAGGCTCAGCCGGAATATGACATATAAAAAACAAATGTAGGCTAATCCCACGAAATTCATGAGCGTAAGATGACTTAAAAGAAAGAGCATAAAAAACTACATAAGATGGATATAAAATGTAAGAAAAACGTGGCCCAAACCCTACGGAAAAAACCACTTTAGTCAGACTCACGGTACATGTTGGACAAGTGAAAACGTTTGTCACAGTTTTTGTAAAAACAGTTGTGAATTTGTCCAAAATTCTTGTTTCAGTAAATTCAGTGCACAGTTTCCAGCAAAACAGTGTATAATAATCCAAATTCCGTTGACTTGGCAAGAAGAAATCACACAAAACTGCCGGAGCAGAGTAAACACGTCCGCCACACAACTCAGCTTCGTGCAACATTGCTTGCTCCCTTTGCCCTTGTACAGTGGTAGCACAAGGGCATCCTTCAGCTCAGGAGGCACCTCCTCCTCAATCCACACGCGTTGCACCAAGTGGTGCAGCGCAGTCAACAACGCGGGTCCACCGTGTTTCAATACTTCAGGTGGGATCCCGTCACCTCCGGCACATTTGCCGTTTCGCAGCTGAGCAAGTGCTCTCTGCGTCTCATCCAGTGTCGGCGTATCCGCCAGATCCGCCTTCACATCGTGCTGCTTCAGGCCGTTCAATGTAGGCCAGTCGATCTCTGAACGGTTGTTCAAGAGACAGTCAAAGTGTTTCCGCCAGACCTGCATTATGTCTGCAGTCTGGGTGCAGGTAGCGCCTGAACTACCATCGATCAGTGTCCTCAGCGGCTCCAATCTCGGTCCATACACCGCCTTCAAGGAGTCAAAGAATTCCTTGTGTTGACGGCGTTCGGCGTAGCATTCCATCTGCTTCGCCTTCTCCGTCCACCATGCATTTTTAATGCGACGGAGCTCTCGGGTCAGTCGCCGTCGAAGTTTGCGAAACTGACTACTCTTCCCCAAGTCACTGGGGTCTGCAACATGTGCAGCAAATGCTGCATTCTTCTCTGACACCAATGCGCCAATCGTCACATTGTTGTCATCAAACCAATCAGGCCGCTTACAGTTTGCGCGCCCGATGGTCTCCTCGGCAGCAGCTGTCACCTGGTCGCGAATGTGGTGCCACAGGTCGCCCACTGTGGCTATGCAGTCCACATCACCACACAGGCGTGCAGCCATCGCCTTCTCCAGCTCAGTACGTTTCGCCACAGTACCGAGGGAGAGAATGTTAAATTTACGCCGATTCACGGCGGGAGTGCAATACATAGATTTACGAAAATATATGTACAGTTTGGTCCGCACCAATTTGTGATCAGTGCCACACTCAGCTCCACGCAGTACACGTGTCATGCGCACTTCACGCATATCACGCTGACGTACGATGACATAGTCGAGCAGGTGAGCGTGACCACTCCGTGGGTGCGTCCAAGTTGCTATATCACTCGCACTCAGTGCAAACCGAGTGTTCGTGATCGTCAGGCCGTGAGTGGCACACAGTGAGAGCAGCCTGTCACCGTTCGCATTCGCTGAACCAATGCCATGCGCACCGATAACATCTGTCCACGCTGATGCATCACGCCCAACGCGCGCGTTGAAATCACCCAGCAGAAATAGTCGGTCGCTCCTCGGCACAGACCGTATCACGGAGGATAGCTCAGTGTAGAACTGATCACGCGTGTCATCAGGATAACACATGGTCGGACCGTACGTGCTTATAAAAGTAGCAAACTTACCTCTTCCGAGTCGTAGGCGAA